CTAAATAGAAGAAATAACTGAGGGTTTGAATGATCTACAGAAGGTAGCGATCAAACTACCAGACGGTCAAACTCTTATGCCTATGACACCTGCACAGCGAGAACGACGCCGTAAACAGCAACGGCGATCCCGAGCACGTAAACGAGAGGAAGTATAACAGCAGAGCCTATTATACTTCCTATTATACTGCCTATTAAGAGATACTATTAATAGAATTTTGGACTTGCCTCTTCCTTCTTGGGCTGGTCAAAAACACGTGGCTCGTTTTATGCCGAGTTTGGAATACAACATAGAAGAGATACAGCCAATAGTCTGCTCCATTGTCGTCGTGCCGTCTACCAATCATCACTTGTACTATAACGATCGTGAACACCTAGAGTTCTAGATCGTTTTTTTGCATCTTACAAACTGGTCTTTTCAGAGCTCTGCAAATAATCAAAGAGTAATTCAAATTCTTAATCGTTATCATACGATAACAGTAGCTGAGATCTATTCTGAGTTTGACAAGATAAACCTTGCCGTCGGTGTCAAAATGTGTGCAAGGGCACGACCGCCAATGATAAACTCAGTGCCAAGCGATTACAATGAAAAAAACATAAGTCACGTATCCACATAAAAATAAGTTGGATTATTTGAAATGAAAGAATTACGCATAAGCGTAACTTTGTCAGAAACAGGAGAAAAATGATCTCCGTGAAAGTTATAATCGTAATACTGATGAGTGAGTAGCAAGACTGCACTTGGCTTACAATCACATCTACACACAGGTAAAAGAGTAATTACGCTGTAAAAAAGAATTTAAAACTAGATAACAACTGGACAAACTTTTTTCGAAGCAAACGCAACGAGCCAGGCTCTTCGTCCAAGGGCAGGAGGCGGAAACGACCAAGCTTGTGCTACGCCTGGTCTTCTCGCCTGTTTTTCGAACAAGTCAGATTATTTGAGGGCCGACAACAATTAGCCACAAAGTTGCCGGTGTTCTCTTCACATGAGTGGCTTCGAGACTTGAGATACGTATTCAGAATAGCGGTTGTCAAGTCTGCGTCTGTGAGAGATGAGCTAAAGCTCCTGTATGATAAGAGCGAAAGCTAAATAGTAGGTTGACTAGAGTTGATGAAAGTGAGCCTCGTAGCTCGATTTAGTGTAAGCTCGAAAGACTGATTTCTAAGTACACACTAGTTTGTGTGTGTGAAAAGAAGAGATGGTCGTTGAACCGGTGGTTCAGAGAGCCTTGAAAGTTGAAAGGCGATATTGTAGAATGTCAATACGGCTATGTTGTTACGTGCCGTTTAATGAGAACGTTGACGACGTAATTGTTAGATTTTGAAAATCAATTTCCACTCGGCAATGAGTGTATACTTTCATATACGGTTTAAATCAGGATTAATCAACGTGACAAAAACAAACTCGACCTTGCGTTGAGTCTAAAATTTGCTCGATCGCGTATCTTCTTGCTTTGCGTCGCTATTTCGATCGGAAGTTCTTGCAATGGATTTTGAAATCCGAATAATTGACTGATTTGACTGATACTGTTGCTTGATGTTGCTTGCAAATAATTTCGCCATACCAGTAGCAAAATTACAATGCGCGTGAGAGTACAAAAACCGCGATTGCAGCGTATAATCTAAGCGAAAGAAAACACGCATGAATGCCAATAGTATCAAACTCACACACACATATACGACTATAGTCAAATTTCGCACTGGCTTCGCGACCACTAAGGTTGAACGCCTGAATTAAGGGGACCGACCTGTGTTAAAAGCTTAAATTCAGCTTCAACTAAAAATAGCTATATGAATCGGAATAGTGGAAATTTTTTTTTGTGATAGTAAAATATGTTCATTCTACACCAGATTGACCAAAAACAACTTCTACCCAAGCTCTGAAATACCAATTACATCGCTTTTTTCATAAGACGAAATATTGTGTTATAAATCACTTGCCGCACGATCTTGAAAAGAGTTTTTCTTCAATATTGATCTATGGGGTCTCAAAATCTTCAGAAAAGTACTCTCATCCACCTAAGCGGAGCAGAATTTTTAAAAATTGCGTAGAACTTCATATACACGTCAAAATGTGCCAATTTTTGAGAAAATTAGTATTTTATCAACACTAGAAGCCATATTAAAGATCTTGGAAGAAAAACAAACTTTTTTTTTAAAATTCTGCTCCACTTAAGTGGATCAGGGTACTTTTCTGAAGATTTTGAGACCCCATAGATCAATATTGATGAAAAGCTCACGTCAGAATCGCGTGTCAAGTGAATCCTATTATAATATTTAGTATTATGAAAAAATAAGCGTAATTGGCATTTCAGAGCTTGGATAGAAGTTTTTTTTGGTCAATCAGGTGTCTAATAAACATATTTTACGATCACAAAAAAAAAATTTCCACTATTTCGATTTATATAGCTATTTTTTGAATTTAAGCTTTTAACACAGGTCGGTCCCCTTAAATGAACCGCACGTTCGAAAAAATTACTCCTCGCTCCCGACGCTGAGACGGTCGGCCGAACCGCCCGGTGTTAGGTATGCATAAAAAATAATTCTTGCTCGCTAAATAACTCGCAGATGTTAATAAAATGCAAGCTGACGCCCTGTTGCTCGAAATGCCTACAGAGCTGATGCTATATCACGTACACTTCCGAAGAAGGTACGTCGGCTGTGGCAAAGCTAGGCGAATTTTGCGACATTTATTGGCGAGATGTTTAATGAGCGATTTGTATTTAATGAGTTAATCATGTACAGGGTGTTGAATTTAAACGCGATTCGGAAGCAGCCGAGGGGAGCAAGAAACGCAAAATAAACGAAACGCTCACCGTCGAGTCAGGCTTATCCAATCTCCGGTCGCGATCTCGTCAGCCTCAACCAGAAGAAAAGGATTCATCGGACGATGACACACGCAGCAGCAGCAGTTGAAACAGCGACGATCTCGCCCACAGCAGCCGATGAGAAAACCCTCGAAGTCTGTTGAAAAAATCGCAAAGAAGCGAGCAAGAGATAAGGCAGTCTGCAGAAATGCCTCGTTGCAAAGCAGCCGACGCTGCTACAGCTCGCTGACCTCCCTCGTATGTCGCCGGTGTGACGCGCGCAGTCCTCTACGCAAATCACCAAGATAGCGTCAATTTGGCGGATGATGACGATGATGACGTTGTTCGCAACGGCCTCGAAGATTTCAAAATGGCACTCTGAATGCTTATTATGTGCTGTCAGCGGACGTAGAGGTTTTATACTGACGCGTTCACGTCAATGATTTTCGTGAACTCCGGCTTGATAACGGCCATAGAGATTTCACAGTAGTACTCTCAAGTCAATGATTTCGTGAACTTCGGCTTGGCTAGAAAATTATAACTTTTGCACAGCACTGATATGCCGCAATGACAACGACGACGACGACGACGACACAACTACACAAACACAGCAAGAAAAATCACTTTGGCTCCAAAGATGTCGATGGCCGAAATACTATTTAAATTAACTAAGTTTTTTTAGCTTTGTTTTAATTTAGCACTCATTGCGGAAATGATTAACTTAGATTTTTTTCTCTACGCTGACGGACTATGTTGCCGAATTGGAGTCTGGCTCTCGTGTGTCGTTCTGCTACGCACGTTGCTGCCTGCTTCATGCTTCCGAGTGCGTGAAATGGCCCGCTGCTGCTTATGTGTGGTATATTGCCGCGTATGAAAATGGCGCGCTGTATGTTTAACGTGCCGTGTGATCTGCTGCCAGCCTGTGTGCTGTATACTGCCATGTATGAAAATGACGCGCTGTTTCAAAGCCCAAGATGTCAACAAAAAATTTAACTTTCTTCTTCTTTTTATTTTTACCCTCTTGCAGCTCCTGCGACCTCGATCTCTAGGCGAACTCTACCCACGTCGTTCGGGTCACCAGTATGGAATTTAATGGGTATTTCCGGGTAGGCCTCATGAGGTTGCTCCTCGTAGATGATGTACCTGACCTTGGTCCTCAGAAGCGGACGATATCTCCATACATATATCGCCACTGTTGCGTGTTCGGGTTTCCGTAGAGAGAGTGCAGGAAAGGTAGGGTTCACCGGTTACTGGGATCGAGAGAAAACTAGGTGCAAAATGACTAATCACTCGAATTTGCTGAATAGAATTTGTACACTTTATTTTGTTACGTCATGGTTTTAGATCGGAACTTACAAGAGGTGCTCACTCGACAAAGGTCTGACTAAGAATCTCGCTGAACTTGAACTAAGAACCGCTGATGCTCGAACAGCGAGGCGCAGCGGATCGGCGCCAGCCGCGCGATTGTAGAATTTCGTGTGCGTGAGCCCACACTCTGCCCGGCCTGTTCAATCACAATAGAAGACGCGGAGCATGTGTTCTTTCGCTGCCCGCGATTCCACAAAGAGAAGAAGAGACTTTAACAAGTCTTCCAAGAAGTAATCAAGCTGGAAAACATCGTCAGGCTCATGCTTGAGACCGCAGGCGATTGGATGGCGGTAGCGTCTTTCACGCAGTCAGTCGTCTCCAGAATAAGGCAAGAGGCACAAAAGATGTAAAAACGATCCGGACAATGCTGCAAGAAGAAGACGACGCTTCTGGTTCCCGAACCCCGTATGACCGTAAGGTGGACGGAAAATGTACGAAAAAGACACAGATGTAGCAGAGAAGCTCTATAGAGTTCCCACCGCAACAATGTTTAACGACGGGTTGTAGTGGGGTACTCGTTTCGAAGGGCCACTGGCTGCAGAGCTCCTCTGCCCACGTCCAAAAAAAAAATCACACATACATACCAAACATGTGTCAGAAATTCGATCTAGTATATAGAAATATTATTAAATATACCCTACGATGATTATACACGAAAGCCGAAATAGAACGAGTCACAAAGCTTCCTCAATGAGGATACAAAAAGCATGATGATGACTTCTTAATTTATCAATTTTTTAATAACTAATGATTTTCAAAAGAATTATAAAATAAAAGTTTTCAAGCTTAATTAATATAAAAAATACAAATTTGATATAAATACCCGAAAGAAAGCTGCAGTGCTACCACCCTTAAGAGCACCATATTTTATCTTCGTCTGTTTTGCCAAATCTTCTGCACTTTCTATTGGGGAATCCATGCGTTCTACTGTCAAAAATGCGGCAAGATTTGCTGTGTACGATGATATCATTATCAAAGTGAAAAACCACCACATACCTGCTACCATACGTGTGGACAATGCTCTAAAAAAGGTTCAATAATATGAAATATGAATAAAAATGATTCAATTGTGATTGAAAATTGTAATAATTCTATTGTCTAAACACGTAGTTTATTTACTTGCTACTGATCATTGATTTACTGTGTAGGGGTATGAAATACAACTAATTTGCAAGTGTTCATTTCCTTCCAAGAAAAATTGGAAACCAGAACAGCAATCACAAGATGAAGTCAAAAATTACAGTCTCAATATGTCGTAGCAAAGCGTACAGGAAGGACGAACTATAAAAAAAACACGGGTCCCTGAAACCCTATTGAATTAACTATTGAATAAATGTCCATTGTATTCACAATGACGCTGTAACTTGGTATGTGTATAAAATGAAAGTCAACTGAAAAATTGTATCGTTAAATGTTTATTGTTCAAAACCAAAATCTTTTTTTTTGCTCAAACGATAAACTGCCACCTTTTAGTTACTGTTGCTGTGCTTCCTCTCTCGTTGCTATGGAAATCTTTTTTTGAATTGATTCCCATTTACCCCACCTCCTTCCCTCCTACCATTTCTCCCTTCAACTGTCCACCTGTAATGATTCTAAACAATGTAATTTATAAATTCTTGTTTCTAACTTCTTTTATTGTTCTTTCCAAATAATTTAATATCTTTAAACAAATTCAACTACTAATGATATCATTGCCACTGCACATTAAAACTTACGGTATTTTAGATTAACACTTATACGAACTATTATTTCAGTGTGTAGTACAAAATAGTTTGTTAATTGAACAGAAGTATCAAATTGTATTACTTATTTTCAAAGTTGATACCCAGAATATTGACTAGTTTTTTATGAAAGCTTAGTACAAATACTAACAAATTACTTTTGACAAGCTAGTACGATTTTAGATCTATTCTATGAACAGTTTTAATTTTACATGAAAAAGTAAAATTTCTTTGGGTCAGGTTAAAAATGCAATTCTACTGTTTTATTGTTTAAAACCAAAATTTGCAAGCAAGTTTCATGAAATTTGAGTATGCGTTCCCACATTGTATTTTTTACTCATAGTTAAAAGCCAGAGTTTCCAATCTAATATAATAAAATTGTAGCATATATTTTAACTAACTACATAACATAAGTTAGTAACATTTTTGATCTATACAGTGAATGGTTTTTATTTTGCACCAGAAAGTAAAATTTTTTGACGTCATGGTATAAATCAGATTGAAATGTTTCAAAGTTTAAAACCAGAGTTTGCAAGCTATTATCATGAAATTTGAGTATGTATTCCAACTAACTATTTTATAATAGCTTGTAAAATTTAAGATCAATAGCATGAATAGTTTTAATAATTCAACAAAAGGTAATATTTCTTAATGTCTTCGGAGCAGGTTTCTAAGCTGCGGTTACAGTGCGCGTGCGTAAGAATTTGAATTTACAATACGACGAGGAGTACTCTTGCATGAGTGCTCTCTACACGAGCCTCAATAATGAATGTGTGAGAGAGAGAGAGAGAGAGAGAGAGAGAGAGAGAGAGAGATTCAATGAGCGGAGCGTGGTGGGTAGGTCGCTCGGGGACGGTGAAGCTATTTTGGGCACAAATAATTATGAGTAAAAATTCATGTAAATTAATATGAATAAATATGAGTATCAGTAAATAATTGTGAATATCAGAGTATTATGTGAAAATAAATATAATGTTTATTAAATATGTAAATCGCGTAAATTTCTATTGTCGGAAAAGATACAAATGAGTTTAATTAATAATCTTGAGCTAGACGGTGACTCTCGTGTTGCTCGCTGATTACTCTCGAAAGAGGCTTGATCAGGCATCACAACTTGTGGCGAAATGAATGTGATGAGTGTGAAAGTAATGTGACTTATTTTACCTTGGTCGGCGCCATTGGACAGGGATCTCCGGATGTGCTGGGCTGGCACGCGCTTTCGTCCGTATTCCTGTGTTAAATTACCGAAAGGAGTCACACACGATTCGATCGGGTAAGGTAATAAGTGAGTTTAGAACCATCTATCTAATCTTGGTGTCCAGCGCGATTGATGTGGAACCTAGATTTCGATTGACGTGTTCTACTCGGCAAGAGGTCAACCGATAAGTGAAACCTGATTCGGCTCTCTTGCACTTTGTTTTATCTCTGCAACTGCGCTAACGGTATTCAGCTGAATACGTGAAATCTGATACGGCGTGTTGCAGTAGATTGGATAGTAAGGAAACTCCCTGTGGATAACTTACATCTAGACGGAAGTCTGCGTTATAGGAAAACACAAATCAATCCCCCTGGAAGGTACTTCACGGTTGGATGCACTTACACAGTAGTCAGCTATTACGAGTATCGAACAGCACCAAGGTGAGTGTTGGTCGTCAAGTCGCAATAGCTTGACTTAGAAAAATCACGGCACTAAGCGATTGAAATTCGACTAAGTGTCGTGAATGTATTTTTGGTAATTTGAATGATAGTACAAATTAACTGGGTTGTAGAACAATAATAAATCAATAATGGGTCAGTGGAGCATGTGATGCTCCTTTTATACCCACGCCCTGGGGTCACAGGCGGGGGTCGCTCTCATGCGCTCGCCTCCTTCTCTCGCCTGCCTCGTAGAGTGAGATGCAGCGAGTAGGTTTCTTGCTGCAATATATACCAGGTGCACCTGAGTAGGCCATCCGGGTGGACGAAATAGCGAAAACAGTTTTTCGGGGAAAGTCGACACCGGGTCGATATTTATACCTGGTGCACCAAGTAGGCCACCCGGGTGGATGAAATAGCGAAAACAGTTCAACTTCTTCGGAGAAAGTCCTCACTGGGTCGATATTCATACCTGGTGGACCGATTATGTCAAATTTTTTTTTGTAGTTTAATACAGTATGTTTCACGAATGCCGCACACATTTCTTTTTGCAAATTAAAAATAGTAAACGACATTATTGTCTATACAAAATATATATCAAAATAAAGGAAAACGTTTACGCTTTTTAATGGTGCATCAATATTTGTGATACGGGATAATAATTAATGAATGATGGTCGTGGAAATGGGACGAAAAATCCAAATGTTCATATTAAGGTTAAAAAAAAATTCCACGGGAAGGTAATTTTTTAGACAGCGTCTGCACATCTTACATGCGCAAAAGATCTCATAGATTTTCCGAAATAATTTTTTTCTCCGACGTAAAAAATAATATTTTTCGCTACAGCGTGTTGCTCAAGACGACCTTAGCAACGGCGGCCAACAATGCACTACTTGATGTGATATTGTTGAAAAGTCGTAAAGTATTAATTGCGATTGCTACAAAAGCTATTTGTCGTTTTGCTAAGACGGAAAAGCCTGATTTTTATTTTACCGTGAAGAAATGCGTCGATTCCATGATAAATTGACTTTCAAAAAGTCGGCACGTTGTATGATAAACCTATGCAGAGCTGTCATTCGTCTCTCTTAGAAATTAAAGCCCGATTTCTATTGAATCGTAAACAAATTTAAAGTTCCAGCGAATAAGCGACTTTCTAGTATTTTCTTTGTTCAACCTATGCGGAAACCGTCTTTCGTCTTTCTGAGACGATAAAGCTGGAATTTAAATTTTATCGCGAGTGAATCCAGAGATTCAATAAATAAACGGCACTATGAACGTCAGTATTTTATAGTTTTGACCTATGCAGAAGCTGTCTTTCAAATTTTTCAACGAGAAGCTGACTCTGAAAATAATTGTCAGTTGTATGTTTGACCTATGCAGAAGCTGTCTTTCGTCTTTCTAGACGTTATAGCTTCATTTATAGCACAATACGTTTCTATAACGATACTGTAACGTTTAATTGGAAACCTTGGAACGTTTCAGAAAAAAGTCGAAAAAACGTTTGTAGAACCTTCCAGAAACGTTTAAATGTCCGCCCCTAATTTTCATTTCTTAATGTGTACAACGTAGTAGGAACGTTTAAAAAACGTTCTGCCTGGTAAACTGAGCGGGTAATCAAATGTTACATTTTAATAAAAATAATTTATCAACGCGCTAATTTTTATTGATAACTCTGCGTAAAATACTTGGCTTTATTTTCCTTGCATTGCCGCGATGACCGCCAATTACTTATGTCGATCTGTCATACTACGATGCACGGTTAACTGTCGATGATCAACGGTGGAAAATGCCGAATTCCAAATGATGTGGTGCCACAGCAGCGTTGTGGAAAGGTTGCTGCAACATGTCCGCCGCTGGCAGCGTCGTCTGCCACACGGGGGCGCGTTGTAATTTCTTTATCGACCAGCTCGCTGCTGCCAACTTATGAGCTACGCGGCAATTCAATTTGATGCCGGGACGTGTAAAAACATGTTCCTACGCTGACAACAAAGTGGGAAAGAGGAAAATTAAGTAATGACGGTCGACGAGCGCATAAAGAATGTTTAACATTTTTTTTTAAATAGACAATCGTGTAAATTTTGTTTACACGATAATAATCGCATTGCAAGATTGCCAAATCCTCCTGGTGTAACGTCCGGAAGGGACTTAGTTTGCGAACAGACGGTTCGCGTGGCCTTGGATAATGATTTTAGCCTTTTCTCGTGCCACGTCCACGAGGAGACGAGACACGAGAGGTCGGCTGAGGACCAGCGACTTGCGAGTGACGTGTATTTTTATGGAGAAGGATCACGTTCGACCCAGTGAAACGATTGATCGTTCATCGCCAGGGCGGCAGTGAATACATTAGGATGATTATTTATTTGATATAGCTTGGCATGTTTGTAGGCGGACAGCAAGTAATTTAGAGAGTGATTTTATAGAAAAAGGAGAGAATTTATTATTGACATTATGCTTGGACTTACATTTTTGTTAGTTGGTTGTACACTGCGAACTGGACTACGGCTGTGGAAGCTGAAGTTGGACAGAGAGCATTGTACTTTAACACTCAAGGAGCACAATTTAAAAGTGACTGCACTGGTTGACTGCTGGAGCTCGAATAGCTAGAGTAGACTGTGTCTTGAAGCGACCCGGTCTATGCTGCCTTTCGGCGGCTTTGATTTTATTGC